TAAAAAATAACAATAATAATAACAGTTGGTCTTACCAAATGTTTTGCTCCATATTAATTCAGAAGGCCCGACATGCTATAAAACAATTGATTTTTCACACATCTTGTATAAATTGAAAGTTTCCCTGAGTTTTTGGGCTCCGCTAGACTCGAGAATGTTTACACTTCAACACGCTGGACCATAACGACCTCATTTTTGGTTTTTACTTTTTTTTTAGCAAATTGAAATCATTTTGGAAATGATAAGTAAGAAACTTTCATAACCTAAACATTGAATGATGATATCAAATTATGCCTTTACAGTCGAATAGGGTACTTTGTGAATTTTAAATTTTTATTCGCGAATAAACGAATAATTAAATTTATGTTCATTTAAAAAATTGATGCTTTTACAAGAAATAATTCATTGTTCCTATCATATTAAAAAAATCAGTATGATAACTATCGTGTTTTACAACTTTTTTTATTTTAGGAAAATTGGTCCAGAAATCTAACATTAATACAAGCAGGACTGCGTATTCATGCAAATTTGATTTTGATAATCAAATTCAACAATTCTTCATTGATCAATACATTGATAAATCGAGGTGTTATTGTTCTCATTCGACGAAAGATCTAATTTTCTTCGACGCTAGTTTCAAACGTTTATAATGCAAGGTTTCGTTTCTTCCTCTGAAAACTGGTCAAGACTTTATTTACAATGTTGATACAATCACTCTTGTTCAAGGATACATTAAGAACACCCGATGGTACTTTCCTTCAATCTTCTATGACAGAAAGAATTGATTTATATAAATTATAAATTTATTTATGAATAGGTAGGATTTTTACCTTGCTCGTTTTTCGTGCAGCTTTCTTCTATCATCAGCAGATTTTCGTATTCATCATTAGTAAATGGCTTAAGAAACATTTTTATTAGAATTTTTTACCTTGGCGGTAGTATGTAGCGTAAGGTACATATCCTATGGAAATATGAAATTTTAGAAATTACTAAAAAATAATTTATTTTTCTCGTTTCTACAGATTACACAACAAAAAATATTTATAGAACTCACTAAAAACGCTAAAAATATATTTAATGGCATATAAATAGTTGCAAAAATTAATTTGGTAGAAATGGACTTTTTATTAATACTTTATTCAACTGTTATAAAATTACAGTATTTAAGAACAACTGCTGTTATAATTGCTTTTTTTTACTTGTAAATAAAATATATTTTATACGTAATAAGTTGTAATAATGAAAAGGTATTGTGCACCGAATTAATTATAGATATTTATTGTCTGTGTTACTCGTACTATCAAGAGGACATAGATAGAGTCGAAAAAAAAACTGTGATGAGAGAAGAAGAGCAAATTAGCTTACAAGTAAATGATGATAAAGCAAAATTTATGGAAGTAAACTGAAAATAATATTTCATTTTTGAGTCACAAAATTTGTAAGAATTTCTCTTGAATCTGTTCCTTCACATTTTCTTTCGGTTTATTTGTTTCTATACTTTTTATTCAGTTTTCTATGACGGGGAGGAATGAATTATATAAATAACAGAGATTGTTAAATAATCGACTCATCGATCAATTATGATGATGAAGCTTGGCAAACCAAAATTAGCAGGAATTTCAGTCACGATATTGGGTATGCCGATATTTCGACTGAAACAGTTCTTTTCTCGACATCCGAATGGTATTTACTGATATATTTGACTCATTTCAACAAATTACTCAACAAAAAATTATTTTCAAAACTAAAAAAAAAGAAACACTAAAAATATAATTAATGATATATAACTAGCTGAAAAACTTATTTGGTCGAAGTTGGTACTTTATTTAAAATAATGGAAACCAGTATTTTTAATCGTACCTTGTTGACTATATGAGTTAACTATGTCTGATATTAAAAACATAGATAATTTGAATTATATAGTTAATAACTATAAAGCAATGATTATTTTTGGAGACGGGAGCGACAAAAGATCTGCATTATCTGTCAAGCCTTAGGATGACATCAAAAAGTCTTAAAACGAATCCACTCCTGAAAAAGGTTAACATACTTTGTTTTTTCTTATTTAATTAATACCAATTCTTGTATACACAAACTAAAGTCCTCTTTTGATGGCAATCCCACCTTATATTTCTTCAATTGTGACTTTTGTTCGAAATAACGAACATGTTTTTCGGCATAAAGAATAATTATCTAATATAATTATATTCTTATGAACAAGTATTATATTCAAATATAAACATATTGTATTTTTCTAACTAAAAATGAAGGCTCATATAAAAAAATGTGATGTATAGAAGTTTTCAACATATGCATTGGCATATTGCTGCTGTATCTGCAAATTCCAAACCAATACAAAATGGTTTGTCTCCCCAACAGCTTGCTTAATCAACACATATTTTTTCCTTTTCCTTTTTCTTAAGTAGGCAGCGTATTTGGAAATATATTTATGTTTAAATTAATGCCAGTAGAATGGTCAATTCCGTTTTTTTAAGATATGGAGTGCTATGAACCCAGAAATGGAAGAGCACGCTTTTAAATCATGTCATCATATCATTTTTTTTTTAATATCAAACTAAAAATGCGACGGAGATGTTTTCGACTATCTTGTCTTCCACTTCCTTTGATAAAAAAAACCTTGACAAAAAGGAAACAAACCTTTTGTTGAGAAAAACATTCCAACAGAAGCAGTGTAAAACAATCCTACTTTCACAACACCATGTAACCAGTCTTTCAGGGTTAATTAATTCACACATGATGGAATGTTAATTATTGTGTTAATTACAACAAGAAGGTCAACATCCAAATTCTTTAAGATTCATTTGATTATTTTCAAAATACTTATTTCAGAAGAAACAACTTATTTCTATATCTTAGAGAACGCAAATGCATGATTGTTAGTGGTATACTACTGAAGAAGGTATTTGATGTTCTGAAGCAAGTTTAACTTTATTTTTTTGTATTGGTTTGTAGCTTGTTTTTGTTTCATTTGTTCAGCATGGACCCGTTTTATTAGGTCATCGGATTGAAAAAAAAAAAACCTCATTTCATTGGGTTGGCAAACAAGCCTATCGAAATTTCAGGATAAATAAAATCGGTGTTCAATTACGTAAACTTTATTTTATTCTACAATGTATTGACTATTATTATAACCTTTTTACATTTTTCCACTATCACCATAATGCCACGTTCAGAGAATATCTAATTTATGGTGAAAAAATTGATCTAAATGGTTATTGATATCGTGTTCGTTTTCTTATTGCTTTGGATTCATAGAGTTTTAAAAAGGCCGAAATGGAAATAAATTTGGTCAATAGAGAGAGTAGTGCGAACAAATCTAATCTAAAACTTAATAATTTATTAATGCCAAATTGACTTAGAGTAGAGAGTGGCGGACCCAAACATCAGCAATGGAAACGCAACCGAGCTTGTTCAAATGGATTTCTACGTTTATTTGCTACAAGCCTTGTGCCTTAGCAATGTCTCACACTATTTGGGCGTGATTTTGATTAATATTGATCTTAACACAGCACGTTTCGATTTATTGTGAGCAACTAGACCATTGATGTCAAAATTTCCTGAACGAAATTTGGTAAACCAAATGAAATTTGATATCTTGTTAAGGTTAAATTATAACCATAAACATTGCCTTTTTCTATGAGTTTCTGCTGATCGCTTACTTTTTTTTTTTATAATGGTACAACACAATATGCCGATAATAAATTATATTTTATTCCCTATTAACAGTGTAATAGCAAATAGATTACTGATCTAATTTTAACAAGAGCTTACATTAATGGTCGTTGACATATTTCAAATAAGAAAAGCTATCCACCTATGGAATTGATTCGTCAGATAAGAAGTGTATGGTAGTGATACAAGAATAAACAGAAAAATCGAATGGACAGATTTTTCAATTCAATGCAGTCTACCTAAATGTATAATATGTTTTTTTTTTTTTTTTTAATTTTATTGATAAATATTACAATCTGTCTCATTATATTATGGTAATCTAGATACATCTTGCGGCTCCCAGGAGCGATGGATTATGACGAATGCGGTATGGGCATTTCATAGTGAAATGGCCAACTCAAATGCCAAAATTTAAAATTTTGCTGCAACCACTAGCGGATTCAGAGGTGGGGCACCCAGTATAGCTTCTATATTCTAAATAAGTTGTTGTTGTTAGGGCACAGAGGCATAAAACCTAAAGGCCATCAACGCCTATCTGATCTTTGTTTAAATTAACTAAACGATAAATAATTTCTTGGAAAAAAATTAAAAATTAATTTTGTTTAGCTAATAATTAACTACAATAAAATTTATTACCAATGATACTTTAACTTCATCATTATTTAAAATATCTGATAGTTTTCGTATAAGTCCTAATTTGGTTATGATTGATACGTAATAGGGGCACTCTTGAAAAATGTGGCTGACTGTGAGAGTACTGTAACAGTGTTGGTATTTTGGTCTAGGCTACTTGCTTATCAGGTAAGAAGGTTTGTATGTTCTATCCTTAGTCTAGTTAAGGCAACTTCCTCTCTGCGAATAGGTCGGTTTGAGATGGACCATGATTTTACTGATTTCTTATTTTCTTCAATTTGCTCGTAGGGCTCTCGTTCCACATGGATTACCAGCCTAAGAGCTATTTCCTTTTTGAGGGGAAGGCTTGTATCACGTTGTGTTAAAATAACCCCATCCTGGAAGAAATCTAAGTAAGTGATAGAACAAGGCTACTACGCACTAAACAAGTCTTGAGCGAGTATAATAATGAATTAATATAAGTTTATAAATAATTGTCTTTTATTTATTAAAAATTATCTTGATAATATTATATTGTATATACGAATAAATATAATGTCGCTTGCATTAGAGTCGCGCTGAATGTATTAGAGAAAAGTACGTCTACCTGATGTAAGACTTCTCATTGGGGTTACTAGACGACACTAGACGATCTAGATGTACTGTGTATTGAAGCAGATGGATTTTGTCCCTTAATGAAATTCCATCCGCTCGTTACCAAGACCGTTAGGAAAAGCCCGGAGGCATTATCAAGAAGGTTTTCCTTAATGTTTTCCCGGTGACCTCCCCCCCCCTCCCATAAATTAGAAGGAGAAGAGAAGAAAATTTAATAATAGCCGCGGAGCAGCAGGTGTTAGGACGGCGGTGCTGCACCAGGTGCCTGCCACGCCTCCTCTAATTACCATGTATCTCATATCGATTAGGGTGCTACGATTCGATGTTCCGTCCGCCTATCGATATTCCGCTATCGAACAGGTGTCGGGTATTCGTTGTCACGTAATATATCAGAGCTACTGACTCCAACTGTTTGATATCATCGTGGTTTCTCTTCTTTAACCTGTTAACCGAGCGAGACGTATAAATGCGTAAAAGAAATAGAAATAGAAAAATAACTTTATTCTGGGACACAGTCCCTTGAGAATAACAAAATAGAACAAAATTAAAATATTACATCTGGCCAAAATAAAATAAATCAAAAAAAAGAAATAATGTGAAAAAAATATAAGGTAAAAATTCTATATACAAAACAAACTAAACTATATACAAAACCATTAATACTATGACAAGAAACTTAAATCTTTTTGCTCTTATAGACCAGTATACACTTTTCCGAAAAAAATAAAGAATTAAAAAATAAAAATGTATCAAATTCTCTATTGAAATCCGCTCGAATGGTTAGCAAGTATCTGACTGTTTTTGTGATAGGAATTGGAATAGGAGGGATTTGAATGTGGATATGGAGGGGGAATGTCGAATTTTGATAGGGAGGGAATTCCAGAAATTGACAGAGCGAACAATAAAGGAATTTTGGAATGAGGCAGATCTGTGAGAAGGCATGTAAAGGTCAGAAGGTCGAGATCTTGTGGACAGGGAATGGACTGAGGATTTGAACTGGAGAAGGTTGTAGGCGTAAGAAGGACGATGGTTGTTGATGATTTGGCAGAGGAACGTACCTAAAAAGTATTATCTTCGGAAGGAGGGGAAGAGCCACCTTAACTCAGTGTAGTGGTGGGAGACATGGGAGTACCTCGGGGTACCAATAACAAATCTTACGCAGCTATTCATTAATCTTTTCAGTCTATCACGGAGCTCCACCGAGAGGCCATCATACACCACACAGCTGTAGTCAAAGTGGAGGAAGATGAGAGAGGAAATTAGGAGTCTACGGATATGTTGAGGTTAAAACGTAAACAATCTCGATTACGAATAGGACATATCAATACGTCCTGAAAATATATTGCTCCCTGAAAAATATGTTGCTCCCTGGAACGAGGAAAACGTGTATTTTCGAACAACAAAGGTATTAAGCTAAATAAATTGTATAAAAAAATGTCTACGATTGATTAATAAGTGCTGCTTCAATGCCTCTGTTATGTACCAAAAACGTCATTTGATTCGATTACACTTTTTTAAAGAGTATGTATAGAAATTGGCGGATAAAAACATAGTGAAAAATCTGGTGAGCGCAACACACAACTTTCACATACCGCTCTACTTTGAATAAAAATTATTTTCTGGCAATGTTTGACTATTATAACCATTTTGTAGCGTAAACAGAGCTAAAGTTTAAAACTTACAGATAACAAATCATTGAGACCATTGCAATTATAACTGTCTATTTATTATATCGACGGTAGGCAATAAAAAATCTAGTTCCTCCATCTTCTTTTGTAAACCACAGAACTTCAGTTTATACCTTTAGAAAACTGTGAATAAAAGTATAAATTATGCCACTAGAAATATCACTGAAATTAATAATAAAGAATGTTGAAATTGGAGTTAGTCATCCTGTCAACCGAAAAGCACATGTATGAGTAGAGAGATTTGAAAGTACATCTGAATATTTAACCTATGAATGATTATCGATTGTAGGACTATTAGTTATTAAACTGTTACTTTCCATTATAAAGCTTACTAAAATGATATTACGAGATTTTCATTGACTGTCATGGTTATGTCAAAAGTTGTCACACTAATTGTAAGTGTGAAGGGAAAAAGTTAATTCACGAAGGGAAAATAATTTCACTAATTTAATTTTCTAAAAGGTTACTTGATGGATTTTTTTTTAAATAAACGACCAATAGATACCTGATTAAATATAATATCATCTCGAGAGTTATTATACTTCAGAAAATATATTTAAGGTTATAAACATATCTTATCTTCTAGCAATAAATGGATTCCTTGAACCCTGACAAATTCTCTGTAGGGGAAGCATATGAAAGGTGATTATGATTGAAATTACAGAAAAAACTATAGATCATATTGATAATTATGGAGGTCAGAATATAAAAAAATGTGTTGTGCGCAACACAAAACTTTCACTTACCATTCTTCTTTGAGTAGGAATTATTTTCTGGCAATGTTTGGCTATTATAAATTTTTATTATTAACATCATTATAATAACAAAGCTCCTAATAATTATATCAACGGCAGACAATAAAATCCTCATTACTTCATCTATTTTTGTAAACCACAAAACTCCAGTCTCTGAGCTATATATGCCAAGTGAGATTTTAAAGTATATCTGTATATTTAACATATAAATGATTATGGACTGTACGCCTATTAATTATTAAACTGTTATTTTCCATTGTAAAGTTTACAAAATAAAATTACGAGATTTTCATTGCCTGCCATAGATAGGTCAAAAGTTGTCACACTAATTTTAAGAGGGTAATGTTGGGATTTCACAAAGGGAAAATTCATAAAACTATTCACTCATTTAATTTTCTAAAGGATCACATGTGAAAACATGTGATTAACGTTAAATAATATTAGTTTTCAAAAATTATTATGCATAATTTTTTCGCCACTCTCTCCGTTACCTACTACAACTTTGTATATTGGATACTGTTTTTTTCTCCAAAATCCTCTGCTTTCCAACGATATATTTATTATACATATATAATATTATTTCCGGAGATTCATTTTCGAGCTGGATAAGTATTTTTCTCTTTTTTCCCTTTATTCAATCATCAAATTCATTCAAAAGGTATATTTAATCTTTTTTCGTTTTTGAGATAGACTGGTCACAGGAGACCTCATGTAATTCCGTTGAATAAACTCAAATTAGAATTTTTTCACGAATGCAATACTGTCTCTTACTATATATTTCATTTATAAATAAGTGAAAGTAAAAAAACAAACACACACAGAGACCATTTTGCCGCATTTTGTTATTTGAACTCAGGAGACCTCATGTAATTCCGTTGAATAAACTCAAATTAGAATTTTTTCACGATCCCAATACTGTTTCTTACTATATATTTCATTTATAAATAAGTGAAAGTAAAAAAAAGGAAAGTAATTTCAAATTAAATCATACATTTTAATGATAATAGAATAAAATTGATGAATGAAAAATAGCGATTTATCTACATATAGATATGAATATAGGTATTTTTCATAATTAATAAATAGCACAAAAATTACAAATAACCTAAATGTAAAATATTGAATGCGTACGTACGTACGTAGTAACTGAAGCGTTTGAAGTAGGTTTCTCTAAGCCCACTCAACCGTTCAGTATTGCGGTACTGTATAGACTGCCCCGTGTTCAATTTTAAAAAATATATTAATTATACCATTATGAGGTATGTTAATTTTAACAATAGTTAATTTATTTATATATATGTTTCTTAGACCACATCTGTCAAGAATATTGACTATCAGTGAGTTCGCTGTCGGGAAGAATATGAGTATTAGCATTGATCGATGTAAGAGGGTGGAGTGCCCAGAAGCATCCCTACCTATCTTGGTTTTAATAACTTGAAAATAGGAAAGATGAATAAATAAGGCTACATAAAAAGTTAATAACTAATTACTAATTATACAATTTTTTAAAAGTATTTTTCTCAGTCTATTAAACACTTCTTAAACGAGACTATTTCTAGTAATCAAATAAAAACAATAAATACTTTCCATGCATAATTTAACATAAGATTGTGAATTAGGATCATATTCAAATTCACTAAAATACGACCTCAGAAGTACACAAAGTGAGTAATTATTGTTTCTCTTATTTTTTGTAGTCACTTTTATTATGTTTTGTAGGATTTTTGTTGAAAACAGGAAGCAACAGTGCAATAAAACGTTTATATTTACAATATCACATAGATTTCAAGATTACTATATTATTGTAGGTTGCGTCAAGGAATGTTGTGCATGTTTTCCCCATAAGGAAAAGAGAGTATGTGATCAAACAATTTGAGTTTCTATCTTAAGAACTTAGATAAACTTTGAGTCATCGATAAAAGGCTTTGTTGCCATAGCAATGGTTAACACTACACCTGAAGGTAAGCCAGTGGATTTTTGCTTCATAAAATCGTTATTTCATTGAACTTTTATTTATTTATTTTTTTAGATTAAGTTGGGAGTTAATGAGACTAATAATAAGATATAAATCAAGTTTACTGTACAATAGTAGCAAGATTTAGATTTGAAGGTTTTATTTATTTTTTTGTTAAATAACTGTAATTGACTTTGAAAGGAATATATATATATATATATATATATATGGAATTAGATTTAAATTCCTCTCGAGGGCCTGTTATATAAAAAAAAGTCCATTACTGGAACAATAGTGGTTTAAGGAATAGTGCTCTGTTAATACATTTTTCTTCACACGTCCTTACACTGAGCTGCTTTATTTGCGTTATAATTCTAATACAAACATATCGTCATTGTGTGAGTATTTAGCCTAGATCATGTACTGTAACCAATCTGAACCAATTAAAAAAAAAAAAAGATTTTCTGCTGTCTAACCATTTCTACTGATTACTGCCTGAACTGATTACTACGTAAATACGTAAACAAATTATTCAACCTTTATTTTCATATTTTTATATAAGTAAATTATATTTATAATATTAGTCATAAATTTCTCTATTTTACTATTAGTATTTTTTAGTATTTTAGTATATTTTAGTTGATTAATTTTGGACAATTTTATAGAAATATAAATATTAGTTCTTTTGTTGAACAGCAATTTTGAACAGCAATTTTTCGAAGTTGTTTTTATTCAGAGAATTCATATTTTGTACCTGATCTTATTTAAAATTATTATCAACCCAGATTAAAACTGATTATATTTGTTCCCTCTTTATTATTTGTTTTTACTTAATGTAAAATCTTGGGGGAGCTTAAAAATTGGCATAAACTTTATTATTAAACTCTAAGTTTAATCTGTTTATTAAAGATTCATTATTTTTCTTCCTTGTTGAGATTTTTATATCTAAGCTACAACAAGAAAAAGTAACAATAAAAAAAATAATAAGGTCTTGATTCATCTTTCTATAATATTATTATAGATTGTAATTTACCTTTTCAATGTTGATATATTCCGGAATTCCCCAAATTTAAAATATCATAATAGCTTTAGCTATGTAATACTTTGGTTGATTATGATGTATCCTTATTGTTTATTCATTTATTATAAATAAATAAAATTCTATTATAGTAGTAAAATTTCCATTGCAGAATGGGGTACTCTCGTTGCAAAGAATAGAGTGAAACCTAGCTGGTCCAGTATGTTGAGGCGTTATCTCAAAACATAAAGTTATAAGAGTCGCTAGTTCCACTTGTTAGGCCTGGTTGAATTTACTTCAATTCTTGGCCATTTTTTTTTTAAATTTATCATTTTCAAATAAACAATTAAATTCCTTATGCTAGATTTTTTGTGTCCACTTTTGCTTTTACTTTTAATATTTTTATTGATAGTCCCAAGTTGTGGTACATCTCGTCTTTTTCTTACATACGTTTTCCAAAAGAAAATCTCTCTTGGCAATCTTTCGTCAGGCATTCTTTTTAAATGTCATTTAGGGATTTTTTTTTTTTTTTTTATAAATAAATTCCCTTATTCTCGTCTTTCCTTGGATTTATGTTTCTTAATTTATTCATTCTGGATATCCTCACCGCTCATCCACAATAATATATTTTTAAGATCCACGGAATAAATTTGTTATTCCCCACTCTGGCTTATATAAAATTTAGTAACCTGTTGGATAATCTAATTCTTTGCCCTAGTTGGAGTTCATTAAGAAAGAAAGAACCTTAACCAAACCAATAGTAGTAACTATGAGTTTTGATATGCCTCAGATGAAATTATCAATCTACTGTCCAAAATTAATTCACTGCTACGGACAGATTCAAATCTGGGTTTGAGCATTACACGTGTTGTGTATTTTTCAGTTAGCTTTTAAGATTCACTTAAAATTGGACTTTCTAATATTTGTAAAACAATCATTGCTGTTACAATAAAATTTCATAAAGAATCATACTACATATCATTTAATGAGCCATTAAATAATGGTCAGGATGTGCTGTCAAAAATTTCTTTATTAGGGTTGCTGGTGTTTCGACCCAAATATGTGGGTCATCATCAGGGTTAGAAAATGTCGAACTTCGGATAACTCAATAAAGTAATTTTTGACTGCATATCCTGATCATTTTTCATACATATTTTCAACAGTCAACTATACACCCATCTCTAAAGGGCTATTTTTTTAATTTTATTTATTTAGAAATATAATAATCTGTCAAGTGGACAATAATTATAGTGAGATATGAGCACCTTCACACCATATATACAGAAAACATAAAATTAACAAGTAAAATAATAACTAAATAATAATCAATAACTATGTACAATAAAAAATAAAATAACCTATAGATAAGTAAATTAAAAACATAAAGACCCAGTCATATCAATATGTAATATATTCAATCAGGCAGGGAACCTTCAGGGAAACTATAGAGAGCAGGGCTCCAAGAGATCCCCACGCTACTCTCTCAATTGCAACACTGGTGCATAAGCCAGTGAAGATTGAGCGAGAGCGTTTTAGCCACATACACTCATGTCTTGAGTGGAGAATCCGTGGAGAATCCATTTCCAGAACACCAAGATATATACTACAAAAGATCTCTGAGCCACTACCACTTCAATCTTCGAGGAGGATTGTAGGGATGAGTGGAACCAGATAGGGATTGTGCAAGGAGATTTGGAAGATCTATTATGATCTAAATATATTATGACGGCACTACTCAGTAATCGACGTTAACCGGTATTCATATTAAGTATAGTAGTTTGAACGGTGTATTAAAAAAAAAAAAAATGGTATTTGATAATGTGTGAAACATTATTTGCCTACAAAAATATGTTCATCCACTGTGTTTAATTTCACAAGATTGTTAGTAAGATTGAACCTTAATTATCAAAACTGATTTATACCACTCGAGGACTGAACACCGTCGAATTCCTCCCAACATTGAGGTAGAGACTCCTAGCAATAAAGTTGTCTCAGCTCCCCTGGCCCTGGACCTACTATCGATCCGGTGGCTGTTTGCTGAGGTACGGTGGAAGCGATAAGTATAGTACACAACACGGGACTCCCGATCAGCCCCTGCACAACTCCTGCCCCTCCCACACGCTTCGGTTGCTGGTTGTATGCAAACAGGAGTGGCGCCTCAGGTCTTCTTTAGTCGGGTGTCGTCGGAACCTGATTATCTGCGAGGCAGGGAGGGGTCTGAGAGAGTTCATCTAATAAAAGTACTTTCTGTTCTGATCTCATACAAAATAAATTGATCTAATTATTGATGATAGATTTATAGACTTTAATATAAATAAATCATCAATAATAATTAGTTGGGACCCATTTTCATAATTTATATTGTACAGGCCAACTTTCCAACCGCAAACCATCAAGGCTGAAAAACCAAGATATAAGTAATATTAGTTAATAAATATAACTATTATTATTATATTTCATTATATTATTGTTAGTAATATATTTCATGTTTTCCCCTCAGAAGGCTTATTTCTTCAGCTCTTAGTTCAACTGTAAATATTTAAATGGTAGTTGAAATAAAGCTATTATTATTTTTTTTTTTTTATTTCATGTATCTCTGGTCTATTTTTAGCCCTGGAGTAGTTGCTTTCGGCAACAAAAATAATCACAATGATTGAGTCTTGAATATTTATTGCCTATAAATTCATTTAATATCCAGAATATTTCGAAGTAAGACTTTCTTGACAATCTTCGTACATTATAATTTTCAATCTGAATTAATTTTGAACCAATTAAAACGTAATTAGAATATACAACGTCAGTGGTTATATTTTACTGCTACCTCCTCCCTCTCCGAAAAAAGTTGTGTACGATTTCCTTTTTATAACATTTATCTTTAAATAAAATCTTGCGCTTACTAATAAGAAAGTAACTATTCTTGTCTAGAAAAAAACAATGTATGAAGCGCCGAAAATTGAATAGACTGATGCTTCAAATATCTTTATAGAAACGTATCACTGAAAATTGAAGCATGCCATGTATAGTGATTGCCCCTCAAAAAAAATCGGCCAACATACTGGGTAAGCTCATCAGTGATGGTCATATCTAAGGAAATATTTATCTTTTTTGGCTGATGCTGTCGTTATTATTATAGTTATAAACTTCTCCGTTGGACATTTAGAATCTACAGGGTCTTCTTTTTCTATTTAACACTTTAAAATTAAAAAATATTCAGTTATCCATCCTCCAGGTATAATCTAAAAAAAAAACTCCTTTTTGCACTAGTGATGGACACTCCAAAATTCAGTTGTTCTGTTAATGGACAGGAGGTCGGTACCAGTAATGGACACACTTCAGAAAAATTCTAAAATCTTTATTTAACTATAATAAAGATAAGAGAACATAAATGTTCAACTTACTCTCAACAAAACTGCTAGTAGGAAGGTATCAAACACACTGGTCTCAAGAGCATTATAGAAACAACAAGGAATTTAAAAAATTTCTTTTGTGAATTTTATTCATACAGTTGACAATAGAGAGCAGTGTTCTTCAATCCAGAAAAAATTGTAATCTTTCAATCCACATGGAAGCTTATTATTTACATTTAAAGTCCAACCTGTCCATCACTGGGCCCCATGTCCATAACTGGTGCGTTTACCAAATGTAATTTTAGTCTCCAAAAAAAAGTCATGGAAAATACGTGTAAAACGCCAAGAAAATTGAGCTTCTGCGAGTATATTATGATGTTCTAAATGCATGGAACTATATCTATAAGCTTAATTATATACAAAGGTAATAAATAAAATCTACTAAAATCCTAACTACAATAAATACATTAACATTCACAATAAATAGAAACTCACTAATAAAAAAATCTATCAAAATAACAATGTGCAAATAAATAACTAAAATAACAATAACAACATGCGCATGCTAGATACATTTCTATATAATGAAAATTATTAGGAGGCTCGAGAAATAAACATGGTAAAATAATAACACAGACAAAAAATAGTCCAACTCCCAACTAGACGTCAACCTCCAGAAGGTATATTCTTTGACGTCCTAGCAAGATATCTCCGCTGAAAAGAAACAACGATTTAATTTTTCTATGTCAATCGATTCATAAGGTTGATAGGAAATCGATATTGACTCGATATTGGAAATCGACGATGACTCCTCATTACTGAACAACACAAGGTAGTTTAGTTTGCATGCCAAAGGTATTAGTAAATGTGTTACCTGCTCGTGGGGATTTATCCTAATAAAGGTGTATTCTTCTGTTGGCTTCTACTTAACAGATTGTAGTGTTAACATGGGAGGTATGGTTCCATTTTTTGAACCTTCCTACTGTTTCCCCAACTCAGTGTAGCCACCGGTCATAGTTCGCAGCTCCAATCCTCCAATATATCCCCTCCCCTCCCCCCCCACAATACGATACTATGTAAATACGGATGAAATCAACTTGAATACGTGATAGCTCCTAAAAAGATACTACCGCACCATATATAGTGTCGATTAATTAAATAAATTTATAGTAATTGCACAAATGTTATTGGAAAGTAATAAGAACGTTAAAGAATATTTTTTTATAAAAACATAATAGTAAAAATTATAACATTTTCTGCTTAAAAGTTGACGGTTTAAACTAGCTTGAAATGCAGAGATGGCTGGAGGAATTAGAATAATACGTGCGTCCAGGCTGAGAAATTAGGGGGTTAATGGGAGAGGCTACTAAACAGGAAGTCTCTAATTGACAATTATTTTTCTAGCTCTCCTTCGCAGAATCTCTTCCTCTAGGGAAAACTTGCACCATTTTCCCATTTTATGATTTATTTTATTAGTTAACATTAGATAAGAGGAGTTCACAGTTAGTGGGTCACCGGTACTGTATTTTTAATTTATTTTTTCTATGGTTCTAAATCCAAAAATATCAGATACCTGTTCTGTTCTTTACATATATGACCCGAGAAAATATATATAATAATTGTATAAGTCATATTATTTTTTTAAAAGAAATTTCAATAATATCCTTATTTACACAGACATATATACGGTCGTGCTCTAGGAAATTACATTACACGGTAAAAAAATCTTTTTAATCTTTATTTTATTTGCCAGATCTGCAAAATCTGTGGATATTTCATAGCCAGTTTTGAAGCGATGTTCTCAGAACAATCCCACCATAAAGCGGTCGCATTGTTCGTTTGTTTTTTCTCCTCCCAGTCTTTCTTTTCTTGAAAATTCCTTCACTTCAGGGCAGTTGTTTGAAACCGGCTGTAATTACAGCTTTTATCGTGGAAATTGTTGAAGCTGAACTGAGAAACATTGTTTAAATTTTTTCTTTAGGTGGTCCACAAAATCATCGAATTCCTCACGTATCCAATCCTTAAAATCCAAAATCCTCAATGATCCTTACTTTGTCACTAATAAAATCATCTATAACGACCTTACTGTTCCTTATGTTTCCGAATCGGCCCAATCCAGATACCTGTCATTGCATAACAAATTTCAGAACCATCCGAACTCTCTCGTTTCCAACCTTGTTTCCTCCTCGAGCTCTTATAACCCTCCGAGGCGTCTGAAAAGAAGATGATCCCGAGATCTCCTTTTGTTGTAGACATATCATTAGAGTTGTACTATTGGGTAGTTTCTAACAAGAGTTTTCACGTCATTGTATCCATATGTTCAAATTCACTAAATGTATTTCATTAATACAGTTGTAAAAAGCACAAAGAAATTTTAAAAAAAATAATCATATAATTCACATCAAAGGAGTGTTATATTTGTACGTATTGGGTTAGATAAATACTAGAAATACTTGGAGGAATTTCATTCAACAAAATTTGAAAAATTAATTATTTTATTAAAAATCAAATTTAGTTTTTACAAAATTTTGAATAGAAAAACAAACTGATAAAATCTTTAAGTAAATGAACTAAAAGAAAAATAACTGTTCTAAAGTAATTTTTAATTTTTTTATTCTGAAAGATAAGTTTGAAACTTTCAGCGATGTCCCAACCATCCGAACCCTCTTGTTTCCTCCTCGATTTCTTATAACCCTCCGAGGCGTCTGAAAAGAAGATGGCCTAGGGACCTTCTAATGTAGAAATACAATTTTGGAGTGCTACCAATGGCTTCTAGTTTCTATTCATGTTGTAAATTCATGTTACTTGTTTTATATTTACTTTTTGTATTTATCATTTAATACAGTTGTAAATTTCAATAATAAAATATTACAAAAAAATAATTAAACAAAAAAAAATGTTAAAAGTTGTAAAAATAGGTGACCTACTAACTGTAACAATATCTCCTTGTTAATATTAAAATACAAAATAACCACACCATTTAACTTTACCACAGAAGTTGGGGGAGGGGAGGAATCTATTAGTAAATGAAATCCATTGATAGTATTCTTTTATCCGTATGATGCTCAATGGTTGACTGATAAAAGAATGCATCTGTCAATTTTATTAATGACATTCTTATCGGAAGACAGATGAAAGCTTTCATAATTAATTTAGAAAGGCGATTTTCAATACAGGCCCGCTGCTGTGAGGAGCAGTGAAAACGAAGCAACAAAGCTGTAGGGAAATTTTTCCCTTTTTTTTTCCCCTGCTCGTCAAATGACAGATTCCTCTTCTGACATACAGATTATAAATTATAAAAATATTTTTAACAAAATGTGTTAAATCATTAATTTTTATAATATTTCAGTTAAAAGATAAAAACTTATATTTATTATCTCTTATATTTATTTAATTTAAAATTAGATTAAATGGAGAGTTTACAGCAATAGGTTATGTGAAATTTTTAAATATTCTTAGCAACAGATTAAACATAAAATATGAGGCAACTTGAGTATTCAATATTTTTATCTATTAATTTACTTACAGGCAATTATCAAACACTAGAAAATTCTGTTCTTTACACAACTCTGTTGTGACTAAATATTTCCGAAACAAATTATCAACAGTTTTCCTCTAGAAATTTAATGCTTCTGTTTATACATGTATATATATAATTTTTTTTTTTTACTTTTTTGTTGAGAAATATTACGATTTGTCTCAATTGAGGCCACTTATTATAGGGTTCAGAGAGCACATTCACGCTATTTTTACAGAAACATAAATAAATAAGGTAATGAAAATAAAATACATTGAAATAAGAATAAAATAAAATGATATATATATATTAACTTAGAATTTCATGCAGTACAGTCAGAATATAATTTTTTTTTCGACAATTTATAAATA